GTGTCCCACACAACCACAGGCTCGCTTCACACACACGCGTGTCTCTCCACGTAGCTCCGCCCAGCCACGCGTTCTGTGCGTCCCCTGCCTACGTGTGCACACTCTGCACATGCGGTGTCCCCGTGCCTGGGTTGGTCTCAGGCTGGGGGTCTTTGTTTTGGTTTTTTATGGTACCGGGGATCGAACCCAGGGACTCTGAACCGAGCTGCATCCTCCCCTCTCTCCACACTCTCTTTTTTTGAAAGTTTATTTTGAGACGGGGTCTTGCTGAGTGGCCTGGGCTGGGCTCAGACTCGCCACCCTCCTGCGTCAGCCTCAGCCTCCCCAGGGTGCCGTGATTACGGTTGTACGACATCAAGCCTGACTGGGCCTTTGTATCTGGAGGCTGGTTTCACCCGATCCAGAGTCGGCTGAGGAACCGGTGGCCTGAGAAAAGCCGTGTGTCCCTTGCTGAGCTTCTCCACCTTGAAGGCGCCGCAGTCCCCAAGGACTCCCTGAGGGATTTTCTTCCTGGCACCCAGCAGCCCAACAGCCCTGCAGGTCAGAGAGGGAGGGAAACGGGGTGGAGTAGGGAGAAGCTGGAGCCAAAGAAACCCCTCGTTGGAAGGAAAGAAGCAAGGAGAAAGACGAATGAGAGGGCAGACATGAAATATTGTATTTTATATGAGGTATTTTGGGGCCAGTGAGTTTTTCTTTTGCACCATAATGGTTTGTGTCTATATTTGGTACCAGGGATGGGGACTTTGCTCTTGCCAGGCGGGTGGCAGCACCACGGAGCTAAATCCCCAGCCCTCATAACTGTTTAAGCATGACCCTCTGAGATAGGAGCTTGCAGGTAGAGAGAGACCGAGCTCCTCCGTGGCCAGGGTTGGTGGATAGGGTCTTAGATTTTTGTTTTGTCTTGGGGTTTTTGTGTGTTTTTGAGACAGGGTCTTGATATGTCATTCAAGCTGGCCTTGAACTCATGAAGCCCAGGCTAGCGTGAAGCTTGAGGTGATCCTTCTGCCTCAGCCTCCTGAGGGCTGGGATGACAGGCGTGCACCACCAAGCCTGGCAGAGAGGGTCTTTGAAGAGGCCGGAAGCCCACTCTCCCTCCTTGGCCTCCGCCCCTACCCCTAAGTCCCCTGGGTCCCATCATATCCCTGACTGTCCCCTCCCAGGCAAGAGGAAGCAAGGGAGGTGACGGGTGCGTGGGATGGGCACACCTGTAGGATGCTTTGGGGAAGGAAGCGGCTTCAGGGCCCTCCACTCCACAGAGAGCTGAGAGCTTTGCCACCACTCAGATGCAAGGAATTGAACTGGACTCCAGGCAGAACCAGAGACCGGTGCTGGGGCTGGGGCGGGGGAACAGAATGGGAGTCCCACCAGACCTGGGTGGCAGGAAGTCACTGCCCTGCCAGGCCTCTCCCCTCTCCCTCCATCCCTTATAAGTGCTGGGGACGTCCTTGATCTCCAGCGCCCCCGTCTACACAGGCCTGGGCTACCCGGATAACATTCCATTGACTCTGGATTCGATCCCAGAGGCAAGTCCGGGCATTCAGACTCAAAGGAGGCCGGGAGCTGAGTAATCAGCGGCTCTGGCCACGCAGACATTTTGTCGGGAGGGAGCGAGCTCCTCCCCGCCCCCACCGCACCACCGAGCCTGATGGAGGAGGGGCGGCCGTCACTGGGCTTCCCACCGGCTCCCTCTTCCCACCTGCAAGTAATTTGGCCAATGGAAGGGCAGCTATGATTGCAGTGTGGAATCCTTCTAGAGCTGCATGCATTTGGTGACCAGGCCCCTCCCGCAGGACCCCATGTAACCTTTTCCTCTTCACAGAAGCAAATTACTTATAATTATCTCACATCGAAAGCCTTCAGGAGCTGCTTCCAAAATTGCTTTAATTGAATTAATTGAATCTCATTTCGTTGGGGGAGAGAGAATGGGGGGCCTGCCTTAAAATAGTACACAGGGGAAGGGGAGGTGGGTGACCCAGAGGGAGGGGAAGCCCCCACCCCCGGCCCACAGAGGTGACAACAGCGCGAGTCCTGGGCCTTCTCGGACACACACACACACACACACACACACACACACACACACGCCCTGCCAGTGTCAGCAGACAGCAGATATGCTTCTGCATTTGGGTTTGGACCTTGCCTGTGCCCTGCTCTACGTAGTGACGGCTGGTGACAGGGACACGTGGAGCTCCACCCTCCTCCCCACCCTGGGAGGGAGGCAGGTCTGCCAGAGGCCAGAGGTGAACGGATGGCAGGGTGAACTCCCCTCCCCTCCCCGATAATCATAACAGCAGCTATAAATGCCATTTATTAAGTGCTTGCTGTGTTCCAGGCACATGTCAAGCCTGTTACAAACACTATCTCGTTTCACCATCACAACCACAGCAGGAAGCGAGGCCTACTAGAATTCCCATCACAGTGAGAAGCAGGGCTCAGAAGTCACCCGGCTCCCTAGTGAAATAGCCGAGACTCTGGAGACCAAAGCCGCACTTAGTCTTGTCCCCTTCGTTCCCCCATCCCCCCCCTTCTTTTGGTGTTTTGAGACACAGGATCCCACTGTGTAATTCAGGCTGGCCCTGAACTCACCATATACCCCAAATTGGCCTCAAACTCTAGATGATCCTCCTGCCTCAGCCTCCTGAGTGCTGGGATTACTGGCGGGCACCACCACACCTGGTTCCTTCCTTTATTGATCCAAAGTCCCAGTGAAGCTTCCTCCTTGGCAGGACGGCCCTTCTAGACTCCTGATGGCTTGAGGGTAGGGTATGGGGTGCTTCTTTCCTGGGGGGTATGTTGGGGGTACACTGCCACCCAGGAGCCTAGAGAAATGGGACTTGCTCCCAAGTAGGAAAGAGAGTCCCTTTTACCCTGGAAAGGTGGTGGATGGAGAGAGGACGGGGTGCTGTCAGCTCCACTGGCCACGGCTGGGGAGCAATTACACTCCTTCTGCTACTTAACTTTACAACTGGCTGTTTTAATGCTGTGACTGGAGTTGGGCTGTCCAATTAATCTGCCTTTGGAGGCTTTCCGAGATGGCTGGTAGATCTTATCTGGGCTCTGTGGAAAGAGAAGTGTGCAACTTTCGGTGGAGAGAACAGCTGCCCCGGGGCCTGTGGCCTCAGAGAAGGCCCGGGGCAGGCATCTGGGGCCAGGCCACCCGTGGGCAGTACCGCCCCATGTCTGAGCACCAGAGAAAGGGCACCGGAGGGCAGCAGCAGCAGCAGGTGCGTATCCTGGGGCCGTCCAGCACCTCACTGCTCCCCGGCCTTGGCTTTGGCCCACCCTGTGTTGTCCGCCACCCCAACACGCCTCTGTGTGTGTTTGGGGAGTGAGGGAGCTCACTGAACCAGAGGGAAGGACTGCTTCTGGGTGCCTCGAAGGCATCTATTAAGGTGACACCTTCTTTGACCCCAGGTTGGCTTCTCACTGGTTCTGTTTGCTGGGCACGATGGAGTGGGCTTTTCAGCCTGGGGCACCTCAGCCCCTCCTTTGCAGGGCCTGGGAACAAGTTCAGGCAGTAAGAGGGAAGCTGGATTTGGGAGCCTTTTGCCTGGAACTGGAGGCCCCTCCCTGGCCCCCAAGGCCATACCTGGCTGGATTCCTGAATGATTAGCCCACCCTTGTCCTCAGCCATCCTGACCCCTGTGCCTGGTGTGCCAAGGGGTACAGTGGCCAGGAGTCACCACTGGGCCCTGCTGTTCCCCAGCCTTTACATTGGGAACTGACCCCTGGCCAGGCTGGACCGCAGCGCCTGGGCAATGTCCACACTGCTTTCTGTCCCCTCCTTCATCTGGCATCTATCACACTGCCTCAGACCATTTGTCAGACCCCTGAAGGGTCTGCCTGGGTCACGATTGTATCTGAGATGTGTGTTGGATGCAGGAGAATTCAGCTTCTGCTATTTTCCCTCTCCCCCTCCTCCTTCCCAAAGCGGGGGCTGGCTCAAGGGCACATCCTCTCCCAAGGTGAGCAGGCCTCTGCCTGAGGTTGCAGGTGCAGGGTGGGGGCTGTGAGGCACCTGGCTGCCTCCGAAACTGGGCCAGGAGAGAATCTGCAGGGAAGACCACTCCAGACTCGGTCCTTCCCAGCAGGAATTTCTTCCAGTTTCACCCCCGGAGCACAGGAAGGCCTGCACGTTATCAGAACACTGCAGAGCGGGAGCAACAGAGCTGGCCAGGGACACAGAATCCAGTGCCTCTGCCCTAGCTCAGTGGAAAACAAGTTGGATGGGAGAGAAGGTATACGTGACTCCTGTCAACCCTGGTGAGGTCAGGAGACAAACACATTTTGCAGCTGTTGCATTTGTGTCTTTGTTTTATTTTGTCTGGGTACTGGGGATTGAACCCAAGGCATCATGCCTGCTAAATTAGTGCTCTGCCTCTGAGCTACACCCTTGTTCTGGAAATCACACCTGAACACCGGGAAAAATCAACGGCTGGGCAGGTGTGACCTGCTGGTGGCCAACTCTGCAGACTCTGGACGTCCGCTTCCACTCACAAATGGATCAAGTCGCAGGGCGTGGTGGTGCATGGCCTGTAATTGGAAAGCTGAGGCAGGAGGATCGCCGAGAGTTCAAGGACAGCCTGAACCACATAGTGAGACCCTGTCTCCGAAACAAACACAAACAAATAAAAACCTAATAAAAATATGAGCTGAGCAGGGCCCAAGGCTCACATAGAAAAAAGTACACAGTGTTTCTGACTCCTGACTTCGGTGGAGCTGCAGTCCTGTGAAAGGGAGGGGTATCCCCGGTAGGGGGGCAGCCTGACTCCAGCCCAATATGCTAGCCTGAGCCTTTGTCCCACGGGTGTGGGAGGGGCCGGTGATGAAGGCTGTCCTTGATTTAGCCGTTGGAAGTAGGCAGACGTAACTCCACCCCCTTTTTCTCTTCTAACTCTTGGTCCTAGAGAAAACCTATTCGGACCTGGCTTCTTGTCTAGCAGAGGTGCAGATGCCCCAGATCCTGGGCTTGGCAGGAGGGCTGGGGCTGCCCTGTGCCAGACTCACACCATCGGAGGCACAGACAGCACATCTGGAGAATGATGCTGCCCCCAGGCTCCAAAGCCATTGCCGAAGCCACCGGTGGGCAGGGCGCTTGCCTTGGGCAGATCCCAGAGGGATAGATAGGATGGGGAACAGGGAGGAAGGGAGGGGGCTCTCCCGGGGAAGTCTCCTTCCTGCCCCCCAGAGTTCTGTTTCAGAAGCTTCTTGTACTTGGAGCGCTTGTTCTGAAACCAGATCTTTACCTTTGGGGAGAAGAGGGGACAGAATGAAAGATCAGGAATATGCACGGAAGAGCAAGGGACCCAGCTCTAGGCAGCAAGTTCCAGGATAGGAGCAGAGGTTGGGAACACTTGCTGCGGTTCTCCATTGCCCAGGAGGTCCCCGGAGCCAGAAGGCACTTCCTGTTGTTGTCTGGGGTGCCCTTCTCTACTACAACCCCCCAGGCAACCCGCTTCTAATAAGGTCCTCTGACCTGGTGGGCTCGCCAGGGACAGGGCCAGGGGACTCATGGCCACTCACACCTTGGGGAGAGTTCCCAGAGTGTAGGCAGGGAAGGGGAGGGAGGACGAAGGGACTGGCCTCACCTGGGTCTGGGTGAGGCCAAGCTGTGCAGCCAGCTGGGCCCTCTCAGGCAGTGCCAGGTACTGCGTGTGTTGGAAACTGGTTCAGCCGCTGCAGCTGCAGGCTTGAGAAGATGGTCCTGGGCTTTCGAAGCTTCTTGGTTGGGACCCAGGGGTGTCTGTCCGAAAGCTCTGGGGACAGCAGCAGCTTCTTCAATTCTGAGGGCAGCATAAGGAGGTGTGTGTCTAGGGTTGGGCAGACGTGTTCACAGCCTCGTCTGCACCTGGTCTATGAGCCAGGAAAAATGAGCAAAAAGCACCTTTCTCTACCTTTTCAACCTCCACGTTCAGGGTGCACCCAGTGACACAAGGCAGTTCTTGTCCTGGGGGAGCTCCCAGTTCAGGGCTCTGAGTGCAGAAAGTGCCAAGGGTCAAGAGCGAGGGTACCCACTGGTACCGCTCCAGTGTAGTGGCTCAGGTTGGAGCTAGGTGGGGGGAAACTCTGGGCATTCACAGGGCAGGGACCTGGAAAGCCATGTTCAGGAGCCAGAGTGCGCCCAGGCATCAGAGGGTGAGAACTGACCCCGGAATTTTCTCCCCCTTCTTCCCCACCAGATGCCTCGGAGGAGATATTTCATGGCCCCAGAAGCCAGAGCAGTGCGGGGCCGTCCTGTCCTGTCCCGCACTTGCCCACCCGGCACAGCGGGATCCCCGCGTTAGGCAGGGTGACTGGGGCTGGAAGAGCAGATCGCAGGGCCACACGGGCGGGCAGGCAGAGATCTGGCCCCCTCCTTCCAGCCTCACTCTCCAGGACTCCCCGCAACGGGCGTGGGGACCTAAAATGGGCTCAGAAAGTGAGGGCGAGGGGCCCCAACCTGAGCCGCTCCATTTGGACACGGAGCGCGTCCCAAGCGGGAAGGGAGTCGGGTGGAAGAAGCGGCCGGAATACCCGCGGGCGCGGGTTGGACCGCAGACCCCCGGCAGAAAGAAGGGACGGCCAGAGCCCATCTCCAGTGGGGCTCACGCCGCACTCACGTCAGGTCCGGCCTTGGGCCGGCCGCAGTCACCCATCGTCTTCGCCTCCCCCTCATCCCTCGCTCCTGGCCTTGGGCGCCGAGGGTTTCTCAGATCCTCTCCCCGCCCCTCGACCCCTGCCTCGGCCG